TGATGTTTTCGTTACTATATATATGTTGATACCTTGGCTTTGTAAGGTACAACTTTTATCATTAATATATTTTATGAGCTTTTATAAACTCAAACCCTTGTTCTCGGATAGAGTTTCGACTCTCAACGATCTTAAGAAGACAACTAATCTAGATATTCACAGAATCAATAGATTGCTTGTGTTATCTGTAGCTGCCGCTACACCAGTTGGTATCAGAGCCTACACGGTTTTTGGTTTCCAAACCACGACCAGCGATCACCGATACTTCCGCTACAACTTCTCCTACACCGCCTCTTATCATCATGCCGCCTCGAAGACAACCACCGGAAGATCAGCAAGACGATCTTCGTAATACCTTACAAAATTTTACGGAACAGCTTCAGGAAGCTCTTCTACACGCAGTAGAAACAGCTCTAACAACGGTGCTACAACGCCAACAACAAGCTCCGGCTGTCGCAGTTCATCAACCACGTCAAGAAAGTGATTCCGATGATGATCTCGCTGAGAACTTGTTCGCCAATGATAACCCTCTTGAACCACGAAACGTAGGTCGTGTTGCCCCTCCAGCTGAGCATCAACTCAACATACGAGAAAATCAGCTCGAAGACCGGCGATGGGAAACAGGGTTTCGTGTGGAGATTCCAGAATTTTCTGGTAATCTTAGCACTGAGGAATTTTTGGATTGGCTCAGCGCAATAGAAGAAATTCTGGAATTTAAACGGATTCCGGATAATCAGTGTGTACCTTTAATCGCCTCCCGTTTTCGTAAACGAGCTATGGCATGGTGGCAACAGATTAAAGAGTCTCGTCGACAAGCTGGAAAACCTCGCATTGATACTTGGGAACGTCTAAAGAAGCATATGCAAAGGGCTTTCCTTCCTTATAACTACGAGCGCACTCTCTACAATAAACTTCAAGCGTTACGACAGGGATCAAGGACAGTGGATGAATATGCAACAGAATTTTTTAACATGGTATCTCGTACGACACTCAACGATACCGACGAACAGCTTGTCTCGCGTTTTATCTGGGGACTTCGTTATCAAATTCAACTCGCTTTACAACAGTTCAATCCCATAACAGTTTCCGAAGCACATCAACGTGCTCTAGCAATGGAAATTCAATATCGTACTCCTTGGGGCGCCGGAAACTCCAGAAATAGGTCGACTCCTCAGGCCGCAGAGACCAACGTAACATCTCCCTCCGAAGCTACTCAATCACGGATGACGGCAGCTCGCCCAACCAATAATACAACAACGGACGCAAGTGCACAATCTCGACCAGCACGCACAAGTGCTCTCTGTTGCTTCTCTTGTGGTGAAAACGGTCATAGACAAACAGCTTGTCCAAATCAGAATCGTCGTGGTCTTCTCAATCAAGATGCTTCTTTGGATGACAAACCACTTTATGATGATTATGACTCTGATTCTCCCCAAGAAGCGGAAACAGAGCTTATTGGAGGCGACACATGACCTCACACTCTTGTCCTCCGCCGAAATTGTCTGCTTCCACGATCAGCTCAGGAATCGTGGCTTCGGTCTACATTATTCCGCTCAACTTGCACCATCAATGGGAAAATTTGCACGCTGATTATCGATTCGGGAAGCTGTACCAATGTGATCTCGGCTTTAGCTGTTAAAAAGTTGGATCTTAAGACAATGGCTCACCCAAATCCGTACAAGCTCGCTTGGCTTAATAAGGGAGTTGAAATCACCGTTGCCCGACAGGTTTCGGTAGCCTTTTCCATTGGATCTTACCTTGACACAGTTTGCTGTGACGTGGTTCCCATGGACGCTTGCCATCTTCTTCTTGGACGCCCATGGCAATTCGATAAAGATGCAACGCATAGGGAAAGCTTAACACTTACAGCTTTGATTTCAAAATGCGCAGAGTAACCCTTTTACCTTCTCCAGAACAACCTACTACAGAGGCATCGTTCGCTGATACAACAAATAAACTTCCCTCAACAAAAGGATCCTCGCTCCTTATGTTACCAAAGGCCGCTTTTGAGGCACAACTACGAGACACCGAAGTCATTTGGGCACTGGTCTCATCTCCCATTTCCACACCACCAGCTTCAACAGTTCCGCTTGAGTTTACTACGTTGCTCGATGACTTCAACGACGTGTTCCCAACGGATCTACCAACCGAACTTCCTCCATTACGAGATATCCAGCATCACATTGACCTGTTGCCTAACGCAACTCTTCCCAATAGACCACATTATCGGATGAGCCCACAAGAACATGACGAACTTCGCCGCCAAGTTGAAGAACTTTTGGCTAAGGGTCATATTTGCGAAAGTCTTAGTCCGGCAGAAGTTCCAGCGTTGTTAATTCCCAAAAAAGACGGATCATGGCGTATGTGCGTCGATAGTCGTGCGATAAACAGAATAACAGTACGTTATCGCTTCCCTATCCCACGCCTCGACGACCTTCTTGATCAGATTGGCAAGGAGTCTATATTCTCGAAACTGGATCTAAAAAGCGGGTACCACCAGATTCGTATACGACCAGGAGACGAATAGAAAACCAGAGAAGGATTGTTTGAATGGTTGGTAATGCCGTTCGGCCTTTCTAATGCGCCCAGCACATTTATGCGGGTAATTAATCAAGCTCTCCGTTCGTTTATTGGCAAGTGTGTTGTCGTATACTTCGACGATATTCTTGTTTTTAGGAATGATTTGCATGCCCATCTCTGCCATCTTCGCGACGTGTTAGAAGTACTGCGACAATAGAAACTTTTTGCCGCTAGTAAGAAGTGTGTCTTTGGAACTTCTCAAGTCCTTTTCTTAGGTCATATAATCTCTTCACGAGGACTGGAAGTGGACCCAAGCAAGATTGAGGCAACTAAAACTTGGCCTACACCGCGAACTATTACGGAGGTTCGAAGCTTTCATGGATTGGCATCATTTTATCGCCGTTTTTTTCGCAACTTCAGCGCCCTCACCGCGCCTCTCACCGATTGTATGCACGGGACAACATTCTCTTGGACAGACGCAGCTACAATTGCCTGCCAAGCAATCAAAGATCATCTGGTTTCTGCGCTTATCTTGGCTCTTCCGGATTTTTCTACGGTCTTTGAACTCCATTGTGATGCCTGCAAAACAGGCATTGGCGCAGTCCTTAGTCAACAAGGACGTCTAGTGGCTTTTTATAGTGAAAAAATAGCAGGTTCTCATGCTCGATACTCTACTTACGACGTCGAGTTCTATGCAATTGTTCAGGCAATACGGCATTGGCGCCATTACCTTTTTCACCAAGAATTTATACTTTTTACCGACCATGACGCGCTGAAGCACTTGGATAATCAGTGAAAAATTTCGTCACGCCATGCGTCTTGGATCGCTTACCTTCAACAATTTACATTTGTGATCCTTCATTAATCCGGTAAAACAAATAAAGTTGCAGATGCTTTGAGCCGACGTCATACTCTCCTAGCTACCTTTCACGCCTCAGTTCCTGGGTTTGCAGCATTCGCAGATTCCTATGCGTCTGACCCTTTCTTTGGTCGCATCTGGACTGATGTGGAGGCTCGTTTACGGACAGATTTTGTTCTTCAGGATGGCTTCTTGTTTCGCGACAATAAGCTTTGTGTACCAGAAGGAAGCTGGCGTCTACGTATTATCCAAGAGTTACATAACGAAGGTCATATTGGACGGGATCGTACCCTAAAACTCGTCCTTGAATCATATTATTGGCCGTCTCTTCGGCGTGATGTGGCTCGCTTTGTGGAGCGTTGTGTCGTGTGCCAAACATCCAAAGGCCATGCGTCAAATGGAGGTTTGTACATGCCTTTACCAGTCCCTACACAACCTTGGACTGATATAAGTATGGATTTCATTTTGGGTCTTCCACGGACACAGCGTGGACATGATTCGATCTTTGTTGTCGTGGATCGTTTTTCTAAAATGGCTCACTTTATCCCTTGTAAGAAGCAACGGATGCGGTCACGGTGGCTCAGCATTTCTTCAGAGAAATTTATCGCTTACATGGGTTACCATTATCCATTGTCTCTGATCGCGATTCTCGTTTCGTGAGTCACTTTTGGCGAACTTTGTGGAAGTTGCTTCGTACAAGTCTTGATATGAGCTCTGCATATCACCCTCAATCGGATGGTCAAACCGAGGTGACTAACCGTTCATTGGGCGATATGTTACGTTGCCTTGTGGGGGAACACATTCGTTCGTGGGATAGTGTTTTATGCCAAGCGGAGTTCGCTCATAATCACGCCGTCAATCGAAGTACATCATTTAGCCCTTTCCGGATTGTCTATGGAATCATTCCTCGGGGACCAATCGATTTGGGTGTGCTTCCTGACGCGACGCGTGATCACGGAGACGCTGTGGATTTCGTTGCGAATGTGTCTCATGTTCATCAGCAGGTTCATGATAACTTGCAGGTTTCTTCGGCAAAATACAAGGAGTCCGCCGATCGTCACCGACGGGGCGTTCAGTTCAACGTTGGCGACAAGGTTTGGGCTGTATTAACAAAGGAACGTTTTCCTTCTCATGAGCACAACAAGCTTAAGGCCCGAAAGATTGGACCACTGGAGATTTTGGAGAAAATAAATGCAAATGCATATCGAGTATCTTTAACAGCAAATGCACGTTGCTCGGACGTGTTTAACGCCAACCATTTGGTGCCTTTTATTCCGCAGGATGATATTGAAGATTCGAGGGCGAATCTTTTCTTATCCCGGGGGACTTGATGTAGCATCCTATCATACCTTGGTTTTGGTTTTTCTTTTGTTTCTTTTCTCGCAAGTTAACTTAATAATTTAGTTGTTTTTCCTTTTCTCGTTTGATCAAGAATATGTTATAAATCCTTTATTCTCGAGGGCTTTGATGTTTTTGTTACTATATATATGTTGATACCTTGGCTTTGTAAGGTACAACTTTTATCATTAATATATTTTCTGAGCTTGTATAAACTTAAACCCTTGTTCTCGGATAGAGCTTCGACTCTCAACAATCTCAAGAAGACAACTAATCTAGGTATTCACAGAATCAATAGATTGCTTGTGCTAGCTGTAGCTGCCGCTACACCACTTAACCAATTTTCTTCATACCACCTGCATCAAATTAATTTAAAATTAGTTCTTACATAGAGAAAATAGAAAACTTAAAGATACGTCATACGGTTTAACAGGAACCAACTTTTTTCTTTCCAGCCACTATATATATATATATATATATATACTGATTACAGTTTGAGATAAATAACTGGTTTCTTAATTTTTAACCGAATACATAGAAAACATAGTTTTTAATATAGAAAAAAAGAAAATAATTAAAGCATCGGTAAACTTGCTAGTACTAAGATATGACGATAGCTCTAACTGGTAACCATTAAAAGAATAACAAAAATATGGAGGAAACTAACAAAGAAGAAACAAATAAAAAAAATCAATTAATTATGTTCTTCTCCAAATTTGATAAGGAATAAATGTAGCCAATTTTTATTTTTTTACAATTGTAAGAAAACATAATAGTTGGTTTTATTTCGAAAATATCACTAGTTTTATGAAAACCTCCCTAAACCACTTGCATGAAAATTTCCTAAAAGTTTAGAAATACACACTCCCGCAATAAAAGCCATGATAATTAGAAGAAAAAAGTAGGGTGGAGATGATATTACTTTTGGAAAGTGTCCCACTCGAGTTGATGCAAAGTTTGGCAATTGTTGTAGTCTTGTTTTGCTAATTCCAGATATTCATTATTGTTCACATATGGCATCCTACATCGTCCACCAATATTATTATTTTATAAATTAACTTTATAATTAAAACACTTGAAATTGCAACAAAGAAAGTATTACAACAGGAGGTAATTCTTGCTAAACGTCGATAAACACATCAACATGCATTTCGGTTCAAGTTAGGTTTTGATTCATCTCGATTAAACTCACCTATGTATAATTACTAAACTAAATGACCATAATACCCTTTTCCACACATACATGGCCATCAGCTCATGCATGCACTATAATAGTTAGTGCAATGCATTTGTCTTGATTCACTGGACAAAGCAATAAATATGAAAAATAAAAAGTACCTATAAAGGGTCTTGCCAATCCAAACGTCGTTTTCTCCACCATACTGCTCAATATAGAATCTCCTCTCCACTCGGGGCAACCTTGCGTACCATGGAATATCTAACGCGAACCCAATCTAAAATGCAAAAAAAAAAAACAAGAATAAGCAAAAAAGAGCCAATTACGTTTTGTCGTTTTCCTTCTCCATCAGATGACCCCAAAATGGAATGCAGTGCGTAAGTGCAGATGTACTGTTTTTTGGAACCATTTGTAATTTGTGAGTTTCTGGTCTCATGTTACATGTAACGTACCTCGCCAGGTAAGTCTTTCATAATAATCCATTTATCAAGCAACTCTCCTTTCTCTTGTTTATGTTGCAAATACTTGGACGAGAACTCTTTGGCGTTTTTCAATATATTTTCCCTTGGAAACGCTAATTATGATGCCCTGTATAGATTGAACATACCGGTTACCGCTTGGTTTGATTGGCCCGCAAAGCAGAAAAACTCTCCTTCTTTCTCAAAGACCTTGAACACATCTAGAATTGAACTAAATATGGTAAGTTTTTAAATTGGTTAAAAATGTTAAAATATAGTATTACCAAAAAAAAGTATCTTTTACCCGCGGAAACTTGGTATCCATTGAGTCTTAAGAGCCTAAATGCCATGGCTGTATCGTCAATATCTTGGACATGGGAGCATCTAGACCAACATATGCCTTTGTCTGTCCAATATCTGATGTTTTATCATCATCATCATTAGAGTAAAATCTACTTTTGTATACAAATGAAGTTAATATGTAAATAACGTTTTTCTAACCTGTGAACATAATCAAGACACTCTTTAATTTCTTTTTCAAAGTATCTTGATATCCCTAATCGTTGTAGCCGATCCACAATCCATATGTGTTCGAAAAGATCCACAGGAAAGACATTGGGAACTGAAAATAGAATTAAGCAAATAATTTAGTTAGTGAACAACAAGTAGATGGTGTACGTTGCCACAGAAAAAAAAAATAGGACAATTGGTTCCTAGGTAACAAACCTCCTCCATTGAAACGTTTGACGGCGTTGCGCAAATACCCAAGGCACTTGCTATTTCGGGTCTGCATGAACGCGAAAGCTGTAGAGGAAGGAGAGAAGAGGAAAGATCCATCTTGACACTGAAGTTTCAATAGCTTTTCCCAGTCCAAATCAATCATGCCCTCCAAACTATGCAGCAATGTTGTTGGTATCTTGTGCATTATCTCTTTTGGTATCCTACAAATTACAAAAGATCTCAACGTACGCCCGAAATCAATTCACGACTTAGTCTATATATATGACGTATGCAAATATTATATCGTTTAACTCTTGTTTTGGCTTTGTGTAACGTAGGTTGGACCCATATTTATACTTTCAAATATGTTTATATAAAAATAGAATATTATGTTGTATATATTTGGCCCAACACACAAAACTTGTTAGCTTGAGCTCCTTCTTGGCGTATATATCTTTCAAGACCGGAGAATCGTACGGTACATCTATGTTTATTCCTCGAGCTATCTCAAGTAATGAAGGAAAGGCTACTTCGAATCCAATAGGCATATGCTCATCGTCTTCTTCTTCTAGCTTTCCAATATTTTCTCTAAAAAACGTGATTCCTGAACAGGTCATTATTAATTGATACATAAACTCAAAATTAATATAAATTTAATCATATTTTCCATTAACAACAAAAATGATACTTTTTAGCCTATGTATATGTAAATATATAAAAATGTATAAATTTTGAATGGCTATAGGATAAAAGATTCAAATTTTAAAAAGACGATTGATGTTCTAACTCATAACTATAAAACAATGAATACTTTCTTTTCAGCCCACTATAAAAAAGGGTTTGCTTTTTTGGCAGAAAGTCTAGATATTTTTTCATGTTTATTTTCTTCATGTTTTTGCAGATAAAAATAAATTACCTTTGTGGCATTGATGAGGGAAGAGATTCCATGTTGTTAGAGCAACGTCCATGTTGTTAGAGCAACGACGCATGCAAGTGTGTTGATGAGACGGTCATGATAAGAAAATAGATGAGCATCACCCCAGGAACCATCGGAGAGTTGATTGCTGGCGATCCATTTCACGGCCGAGGGAAACGCCGGAGTTTTATCACCGGCGTCGATTAAAGCAACCCAAGCAGTGTCATAAGCTGATATCGTAATTTCACCGTCACTTAAGTTTCTCAAAATGAACTTCACTCTTTTCACTGCTTCTTCGGTTGCAGTATCATTACTTCCTATACTAATCTATAATTCAAATGCACAATATTATAATCAGGGCAAATAATCATAACAACAATTGAGAAAAATGTGGTTTTGGCACCTTTCAATGTAAACAAAAATACAATAACTATTTTTGATGAAATATAAAGTATAGATTCCGGGGGGAAAAGTATTAATCAAGGTAACAGGAAGAGTGAATGTATTAATGCGATATTTTTTGGCGATTATTATTGACAAGAAAATAAGTATAACAAATAACTGTCTTTAAAAAGAGAAAAATATATAATTGAAAAAGTCACCTGAGGCGCATCATCTCCTTGAAGCTGTTTAATACACTAAAACTGTGTCTTATTCTACTGCACGCTATCAATGTAGATGTAGTACTTATAATTCAATTCCAGAGGACCAGATTCACACTTTATTCTTATGAGATCGATTTCAAGCTAAAACGAATGGTGTGTTCTCCAAAAAAATGCAAAAATAAATAATTAAAGCAAGTGGTTTTAGATTCAGATTAAAAGGATGTCAATCCAGGATTTCTCATTGGATGCTAATCACTATGAACCAAACAATTATTCAAGCTTATTATGTGCAACCTAGAACTTAGATTTCTTAACTAGAACACTCTGCTGTCGCAGACATGCTCCTTTCACAGATGCGCGCTTGATACCTACGCTCTCGCGTGAATCCAGCAGCGACTATGAACACTGCGCTTAGATCTAGTATGCTTACACCATACCCTGATATCTACTTTCGCTGATCAGGGATGTGCTTCTTGTTTACAACAGATTCTAGCAACCAAATTCATGATTAATGACAGAAGGTTAAGCTTAGATTCAAATACTAAGTGATAAGATTAGCATAAGCATTAAGAATAGATGCAACAAAGGCGAGGATGATGCTTATTTATGTTTAGTTCAATGGATCAACACCCTAGAACCCTAGATCAACAAATCGACTACTCAATCATAGCAATAAGAAAAACGCAAGACATGACTGAATAATGCATCGATAGATTAGAAATAACAAGAGGGTTCAGGGAGTTCTTCTCTAGAAACGAAGAGGAAGAAGCCGTCGCCCTTACAAGTATGCTCAAAATCTCCTTTTGGTTTCACAAGTTCTTGAATAAAAGAAAGCGTAAGTGAAAAATAAACAAGTCTCCTTCTCTTTTTATAAATAGGCGGCGGCGCTTGTAGAGGGAAGAGAATGGGCTTTAGGGTAAATCTCCAATTAATGAGGCTTTTCCATAAAAGTCGGGAGCAGGCCTGGGGGTTGCTCCGTTGGTACGCTCCACAGGGAAAAACTCTCATTTTGTGCTCTTTCTTCACGTGCTCCCTCTTGCGCAGATCAGAGTCGTTCTTGACCTGAAACAACTCAAAATCAACTGAGAAAACTCTAGAAGAGTACCAATATGACATATAAAGCACATGTATATTGTGTCAAAAACACAACATATCAATTCCCCCAGACTTAGATCCTTGTTTGTCCTCAAACAATGTCAAGTTTCCAAGTAAGTGGGAAAGGTTTGAAAGCGTGGGAACTCGCTCATTTCAGCAACCATACTCTAACCACGAATCTCTGAACCATGTAAGCAGACATACTAGGACAACACACTCTTACCAGGACCCCACTGACTACTGTTCAAGCTCGGCTCCATACTCTATATCTCAGACCTGCAAAAGTTACACTTTCCAGACAAAAACTCCCTATATTCATTTAAGAGTAGCGTGAGCTTCTTGTCACATGCATTATTCAGGGTAGACAGTCTAGGTATGAGACAGGCCATTCAGGTGTTTAAGTGGAGTTAACAAGTGTTTGGGGTTTACCGTGGCATTGCAGAGGATGCAGGATATCACACAAAATTGCCAGAGAAGATGGATCCATTTATCTCCACTAACCCCCACTCGTTTTCTCTACAGAGCAAACGCTCGTCGTTCCTCCTTTCTCTGACAGGTTGTTCTGCTTATTTTAGAGCACCCTCGTTCATATTGCTTCATCTCTACTTTAGCTCTCTTCTTTTCTGATCTACCAGAGGCATTGTTTGGTTCTTCTCCTACATCATCCTTTGGAACTTAGGGAAGTAAATAATAACACGTTTTTTTTTACTAATGCATAGTTCAGATGATGATGATGACGAGAAGGAGGTAATTACATATGCCATACCCCTGATGTTTCTGGTTTAGCACTTCTCTTCTACCTTTAATCTTTCTTCTCAGATCACCTTACTGACTGTTCTCTTCTGGATGGATCATGCACGTATCAGCGCGTAGTCTGTGAGCAAAACGAGTGAGAGCAGCGTCGATCCTTTCCTCTCCAACCCTTTTGCACATATTTGAACATATGAAACTGAAACACAGAATGCATGGAGGTGAAACAAAGGTTAAAAGGCTCAGGATGGGTACTAGCTAAAGATGAGCTAGCCACTCAGGATCAACAAGATGGATAGAAAGAATTAAGATGTCCTGAGTGTAATCTCGTTTCCCTAATCTAACGCCCATGACAAGAAGAATTAAGTCAATATTGGGTTCAAGTTAGATGGAGTTAGAGTCTTTCCAGAGTAACCTCTACAAGCAGAAATCTTCTGGAGAGCAAGGTGAGATAAAGTCAGGGTGTTCCAGGTCCAAGTGCACGTCGGTCGTCACTGCTAAGGCCACTGAATAAGATAGTTAGAGCACGAGGTGGTTAGATAGCATCATAAGATAAGGTCCTGATTCCCACATAGGTTTGACTGACTCAATAAAACATAACCAGAGTACTGACTCGAAAACAGAAACATATAAGAGTAGAGTTTAAAATATGAAGGTGCCTCCCCCAGACTTACTTCACACCGTCTCTGGTGTGAGAATAAGCTTAAGGGTAAGCCAAATGGTACAAAAAGAAAATGGATAGTACAATGGAGATAAGAGTGATAGGACGCATGATACTCATTCGGTGTCCTCGCTGTCGGACTGATCGCCGTCTCGCCTGTTCCTGTCCAGACGCGCTCCTGCTGAAGACGTTCATGCCTCGGTTGCACGTGCTGGCTGGCGTGCTCCCTTTCTGCGCGAGCTAGTGGCTGGTTTGCTGAGACATCCCACGGTTAGCTTGCGCAAAATATTCTGCATCAAGCTGTTGTTCTTGCGGTGCGAATCCACCACCCAACGCCTGTATGTTGCTTCATCTGCATCATCCGCCAAGGGTCCCAAGTCGTAGCCAGTAGGCGTGACGTCCTCAACTTCCTCCATGTCATCATCCTGCTCTGGTGGAATGGCACGGGGATCGGCACACAAGTGCTCTGGTCCAGGGAGGAACGTGATGTTGTCGAAGTTCTGGAGGTTAGTGAGTGATTGCTGCAGCAGAGCACAGTACAGAACGTTCCCATTGCGGTCCTGCAAAGAGTAGGTGCTCTCGTCTCTGAGGATCTGGCAGGAGATGAGATAGGCAAGATCAATGTACTCAGGATCCTCGTTTACCGTGTATTCCACGAAATCGATGTCGGAGTGGTCAAACAACGGTGTGAGCAGGCTGCCACAGCGCTCCGCTGTGCGAGACTAGCCTTGGAGCACTCTAGCTCTCTTCTCTGTGAAGGACTTGGCAAAGATGTAGCCTGGGTGTGTGGGTACCTTAGCGTAAGGTATGTCTGGTGAGCCAAGTCTGATCTCGTCTTCAACACCTAAGTAAAGGAACTGGAGCTCGCCGTTCGTGACACGAGCGTGGCTCTCCTTTGTGAAGATCAGTGTTCTCAACACCTTGGCGACGACTCTGAGCGTGGGGTTCCTGATCTGCGACTGGTTTGCCGTGCGAGACTTGAAGTGTCCTCCTGCGATGAGTTCCCAGAAGAGCTGAGCTGGATTGAACTTGGTGATGAATTTGAGGTTTGTGGTCTCGCTATCGAAAGAGTAGATGCTACAGAACTCGTCCAGACTGATCGTGAACTTCTATCTGTTCGCGAAGAAACAGAGCGAAGCTGTTGCAAAAGAGGGGTGGTCGCTGTGAGCGATGTACGCTGAAGCGAAGAACTGGCGGACCAAGTCTGGGTAGAGAGCGTATGTCTGATAGCACATCTCGTCAACACCAATCGCCATAAGAACAGCGCGCACATCGTCGTTAATGCCTAAAGCTTGCATTGATGGCGCGTGGATGAACCGCGTTGGTTGGAGTTGGACGCCTAGGAACGCATTGTAGTGCCTCGAATTGGAACGGTCCCAATGATCAAGAGAGTGAGGTGGGATCTTGGGATCGTGGATGTTGATCTCGGTCCCTTCTTGACGAGGCCACGGGTAAGTGCGTATGTAATCGCCGTCGTCGTCATAGACAGGTGTACGTCGAGCTGACTTCTTGATTCTTGGCATCTACAAAACAAACAAAGAGCGCATTAGTTCCCATGTCAAGTGGTTGCTCGAAAAGATGCAACCTTTCAACACATAATTCCAAGTTTGGAACTTGTTTGCATGTCTTTTCTAGCAACCTAGAAATCGCAAAGAGACCACCGAAACACATGAAACACATCTCAAAGCAATCAATCTTTCCCCTCTACAACCGCAACCGACTCTCTCTACATCGATGAACAAGCTCAAAATAACTACTTTTTAATCAATCTTAACAGCAAAGGAGTTATCAATTCCGGTCCAGCAACCTAGAATCAAGCTAATTTGAGCAAAAGAAGTGAGAAACAACGGGTGTAGGAATCGCGAACACCATGGCCGAAACTAGGTCGACCAAATTTGATGTCATACCTTGATTAATCTGTGAAAACAACTTGGGAAAGTGTTAGAGCACGAGAAATTATCCAAGTTAGAGCCAAAAATCAACAAAATCGGTTGAGAAACAAGGGAGATCGAAAAATTTGAGAGGAGAGAGCTTTGGGTTTGCGCCGGAGGAGAAAGAGAAGGAGGGGAAGAAGAAGGGTTTAAAAACCCTAAATTTTTTTTTTATTTTTCGCGAGAAACTTACCTGGTGGAGCACCCTGACGGAGCAGGATGCGTGTGCTCCTCGACGGTGCTCCGCTCGTAAAAGCAGAATTATCTCATTTTTTTATCTGAAAATTAAACAGAAACCAAGCAGAATAAAAACTAAAAAGTATAACTAAAAATAAATGAAACTCACCAGTGGGTTGCCTCCCACCAAGCGCTTGGTTAAAGTCAATAGCTTGACTTTGGTTGCCTATTAGGCAGAAGATGGATCACTTAGAGGAATCTCTTCCCCTTCGGTGATGACTGTATCAGCGAGGTAAGGCTTTAGGCGTTGTCCATTCACGACGAATTCTCCGCCCTTCGTGTCCAGCAACACGACTGCACCATAGGGTCGCACCTCCTTGATAGTGAATGGTCCAGA